TAGTTACCATTCTTAAATAGTTGATTTACTTACTACAGTAGACTAGTTACCATTCTTAAATAGTTGATTTACTTACTACAGTAGACTAGTTACCATCCTTTAATAGTTAATTTACTTACTACAGTAGACTAGTTACCATCCTTAAATAGTTGATTTACTCACTACAGTAGACTAGTTACCATCCTTTAATAGTTGATTTACTTCAGTACAGTAGACTAGTTACCATCCTAACCATCATAACCACAGTGTTGAGTTACTCAATGCCATAATCATCCATTCAGAGTATAGTCTTATCGAAGACAGTACATCGCATGTATTACAAGTGTTAATCTTACCTTATATGTTATATTACACATATAATGAACAATAAGAAAATAAAATTCAAACAAAACTAAGTATTACCTTATCTACATTAGCTCTTGTTTTTGCTGATGTTTCAACGTATGGCACATTCCATTGGTGGGCTTTGGTTTTTGCTTCTTCAACAGGTACTTGTCTTTTATATTCAAGATCGGCTTTATTCCCAACTAGTAAAAAGGGAATGTTTTCATCGCCTTTCACACGCAGGATCTGTTCCCTTTAGAAATAAGAAACTTCGATTATTATGATTTATTATATTTACAAAAAGAAAGAGCATGCTATACAATTCTGGCAACTGTGAATTATATTACATTTTATTACAAACATTAGAGAATATGCAACAAAGTAATTATACTATTTGTAATTCAATGTAATTAATGCATTTGAAAATATACATAATTTTAGTTTTTGGTGAATTTAAGAGAGACATCTTAATCCTTCTATAGTAAAAGTATGTCAACTTTACTGTCACTGATTCTCTAACTTTTGATCTTGTGCAAAACACTGTACCAAACCCCATATTTATTGTTACTATGTCAACATATTCAGTTATTGCATGTTTATTAACTTATCACTAGTTTATGCTGTAGCCACTTACTTTGTATTTAATGTGAGTGTAAATATAACTGCACTTTTAATTTACCCAGTTCCACTTTAATGGTACTGAATGTACAAATTATTGTTGCTTCGTCGTTACTTTCTGCTTCGAAACTTTGTGAACACTGTTGCATTAAAAATTTACTAGAGTGACTACCGTTATGCTGAATTTGAGCTTTATGTTAAACGGATATAACATAAGCAAGTCCATTGTAAATTAATCATATTGTCCAATAATACTGGAACCAGAAACAGAAAAACTGCAGACATCACAATAAAAGCAATGAACCGAGAATCGTTTTACAGATTAAATACTGAAAACATCATAAATATTCCTTCCGTAATGCTCAGTTGTACACTTTGATCATAATTATACACCCTTTTGCAATCAGGTATTTGTATCACCAGGAATAAAACTAGCAGGTACACCAAATATGTTGCTATGGTGAGAAGGAGGTTCAAGACAAATAATAAAATAATAATCACTTAATCTTAGTATTGTACCGTATCTGGAAAAGATAACTTTCATATGTTCAACATCACAACATAACTGTTTCATTACCTTGACTCAAATCAAAATATTATTACACATGCAAAAATTTGTTTTTGAATTTTGTGGAAAGCTACTTGAGGGCTATCACGCTAATTGCCCCTAATTATAAAGTGATAAACTAGAAAGAAGGCAGCTAGTCAACACTACACACTGTCAACTCTTTAACAATGAATAGTGGACTTGACCATCATATTATAATGCCCTCATGGTTGAAAGGGGGGAGCATGCTCTGGGACAGGATTTCGAACCCACAACCCTCAAATTACATCTCAAGTGCCCTAACCACCAGGCGACCAGGCTACATGTGATAAAAAAACATACTAATAGGTTATTTAACTAAATACACAATAGACTTTTTACACAATAAATTCTACAAATGTAACAATATATTTTATTCTGATACTTGCATAAAAATCAACTAAATTTTTTATTTATATGAAAAAAACTTTATTACAATTTGATGAAATGACTTATTTTTAAGGTTTTTTTTTTCTTTTAGGAAGATTAAACTGAGCACGTAAAAACAACAGTTAATACAACACTGACATAATTTTCAATTATCTGCTTATTTATCTATCGTGTATTTGAATAAAAAGTGACAAAAATAACTATTTTAAAATGTAGTACTCAAAATAATAATAATAATGTTTCATGGGTCTGTTAAGATTAATGTTTCATGGGTCTGTTAAGATTAATGTTTCATGGGTCTGTTAAGATATTAACGTTTACTTTAGATTTCTAAAAACTTACAAGTTAGAACATACTTTTTATCAGAAACAACCTATAAATCATTTATAAGAAGAGAGAATTATTGAAAATGGAGAGAGTATGCTCTTTTCTCCGATGGAGTGGCCTTTTTTTTTGTATCAAATGTATCAATGTAATATAATGTGTCTTTATATTTTGATTAAAATCTTGGACAAACTTTCCCATACTTCCCTTTGTTGCGGATTTCTAGCTAGTCATGGGATCGACTCGATTAATTAAATATTTACGAGCATCAATTTACGTCAAATATTGTCACTTAAAATAATCAACTAATCAAGTGTTTCTGATTATTAACACTTTTGATTATTCCAACTATCCAAGATACCAACATGTTCACTTTATGATCTCTCATTAATATTTTACATCAATTCAAAGTTTTTCAGTTTAACCAATTAATGTCATGACTCAGAAAAATAATCAACTATCCAAGTAATCAAAATATTAGCTATTATTATTTACATTCAGGTGACTGCATTCTGTTTGTAGACAACTCACAAATGTGGGAGAGAGGCCTAGTAGCTATTGGATACATAACCAGCCACAGTGACACCTGTTGTTCATTTACCTTATGTCTCTAAATAATACTGTAGCTTTAACTTAATATATTGCTTACTTATTACAAGCTCTACAAATATAACCAGTATTGTTTAGGGTAAGACTGTTTTAATAACAAAAAGTTATGAAAAGTTAATATTCATTTTTCTTTATTTGCTCAAAAAATATTTTGATTACTGAATAACTTGCTCGTTCAGCAAAAATTATCAGTAATGGACTAATAACAGTAACAACACATACCACTGTTAGGTCATTAATGTACTTAAACATATAGGACTCCTGCTTAATTATAAATAGTTCTAGTTAGATAGGAAGTGCTAAAAACAGAAAACAAAACTCTTGCTAATTAAACACTGCCAGGAAGATTTATGTTGCTTTATTTATTACTTCCTCGGCATGCACACGCGTTTCTACAGTTGCTTCGAGTCTGTACTGTAAAATGTAAACTGTATTGTATTCTTTCAAAACTCCCTTCTGTACCACCAATATCTCACGTAAAAACTTATGATGTTTTTATATTTATAATGTTGTTATTTATTTTTTACATTGATGATAGAATTATAAAAACATTGCAAGACATCTGTAATTAAAGACCTTTTCATACTGCTGTGATTTTAATATTTGTTATAATACCTCAATTTCCACCTTATGAGGTCATCAAAAGTTTACTTGCCAAATCCTCTCCGCCTTCTTCTGTCATTTTCTCTGCCCTTTATCTTCTAGTGTTCATTTCCCAGTTCTATTCCATCAAGGGGAGGGGTGATGGGTGATTTTCCCATGAAAATTTTAACAGTATATTCATGTGGCATATTAACTGTGCATATACCAACACATATGTTCATGAGGGGGTCAGTAGTCTTCACTTCAGGTTTTATGACACTTAAGTTTCCAGAAAGATCTCTTATCTAAATACCTTAGGAATTAATCATTGGACTCAATAATCGATTACATTCAACTAATCAATCATTCTCATATGAGATTAATCTTATTTTCATTTTGTTTTGGATTTTTTTAAGACATTTTTGAGCTATTTTTTGTTTAATATTATAAACATCTTCAGATACATCATCTTAGGACTTAGTTACTTCTGTGATCTTAAACTGTTGTACATGACAATGCATCATATATATACAACGAAGAACGGAACCTGTAACGATTTAAAAATATGATTAATACCCTTCCAAAGGTTCTTCCAACAAATTTTCACAAGACCAATAAAACTAAATAAATAAATTCTTTGTTAAAAATAACTGTCCTTAACTTTCACATGATAAAACTTGTAAAGATTCTTCTCACAGTGTGTGATAGATAATATATAAGTCAGTGAAAACAAATTCATGTCGATCCTAAAAAATGAAACAGTATAACATTTATTCACTAAAAACAAGACATGACCTGGTTTCAGAGTGAAATGTATACAAACATTGTGTATAAACTGTTATATGTTTCAATGATTAAGGTGTACAGTGCATTAAAACCTCCTCTCATTATACAAACGATACACTGACGGTTGTCATATCAATCTTCAAGACCAACTTTCGAAACTAAATTCAACAAATATCCCTGAAACATAAGTATAAAAAACTAGGATCATACAAACCTGAATTCTGATGTTGCTGAAAAACTTTCATGTTCAGTTATAGAGAAGACACAGAGAAAGCCCTCTCCCGAACGAAAATAATTGTCTCGAATGGCAGCATAATCCTCCTGACCCGCTGTGTCGAGGATGTCAATCTGAACTTCTTCTCCATCTAACATAACCTTCTTACGATAAGAATCGGCTTTAGTGGGTTCATAGTCTTCTACAAACTGTAAACAAAGATATAAGAATCTTTTATCAAAGTAAAATGATTTTATAATGAGAAACTTAAACAACCAGATAATCAACTTCTGGGTGAATGTAAAAACAACAAGAATTAACAAATATTTTCAGCAGTGACTCATCCAGTATTTATATTTCCAGGTGTTGTGTAAAAATCCTGATTCAGCACTGCAGTGAACGTAAAAATAGCCATTGCTAGCAGTGACTCACCAAATATTTGAACTGGAATATATTTTGATATGCTACTAAATGATTGTATCATTGTGTTAAACAATAGATTAAAAGTTTATCATTTATGTATGAGTTAGATTATGCCAATGACTTGCAAAGATTATCTAAAAAACAAAGTTGTTATCATTATCGTATACATTCGTCATGAAATAAGTTGATGACCTAACACGATATGTTATGATTAAAATGTTTACTTTTTGAAAATCTTTAATAATAAATCTCCCGAACATATGGTTTAGATTTACAGCTTTCATCCTATTTAAGCCAAGAAAGTCAAGCTTACTTCAAAAGAACAACATTTCACACACTGTTACACATATAGTTTAGAAAATGCTCATCATGAAATAAATTATCTACAAGCAAGCCAAATGTTAACTACTTGAAGATATTAACAAAAAAACTGTGAATTTCTTCAACATTTATGTCCTGTTTTGAAAACAAAACAAAAGAAACAGTCACTTATAATGGTTACAGCACTAAAATCCAAAAAAAATGTTTCAATTGATAAAGTTGTTTTGAATAGAACACACTGATG